TTTTTTCGCGCTTCGCGCGAAATCTTGCCCCCCCCTGGCTAAAATCCTGTGTACGCGCCTGAAACCCAACCTGTATCAAATTCATAATCCATCATAACATTTGTATCCATTCTTTTCAAAATTTGCATCCATCATTTAACATTCATATCCATTATCCATCCTGTATCGATAATTGTGCATATCTTATGCTATATTTGAATCCAACCTTTATCAACAATTATATCCATCCTTTAACATACATTCTTAACATTCGTATAAATTATTTAACATTTATATCCAGTCTGGATCAACAATCAAATCCAAACTGTATCCAATTCATGAAAAAATCCTCAATATTAATATCCATCCTGCGATCCAATTTATAAAACAATTCTAAACATTTGTATCCATCCTGCAACAACATTTGAATATATCTTTAGGTCCAATATCCGTCCTAAATCAACAATCAAATCCAACCTGTTAGCACTAGCAAAATGAATTACAAGAAAGGAAAAAAAGACGCGGCATTTGGGAAAAGTCAGGAAGCGAAACCTTCCCCCCCCCCCCGCTTGCCAAGGTACTTGCGATGCCTGGAAATCCCTAGATTCTTCTGTACTGTATACGTCTACGGTACAACTATTAGGTTCCTTATTCCTATTATTATTATTTTGGTAAGGACACCCTCACTCATATAACGTTTATGTCCCCTAGATGTACATTGTGGTAAATTTAAGCCAGTTGGCATAATGGTAATTGACAAAACTGATTCTTTGGATTAAAAGTGTCCGCACCCCAAAGATTCTTATTTGTTATTTAGGGTATTATTGTCTCTGTTCTGCTGTGCTTTTATAACTCTGAGGTTACTACACTTATATCCAGGAGGATGCAACAATTCAAGGTAAATTTTACAAACTATATCCATGAGGATGCAACAATTCGAGGTAAACTATACTCTTATATCCATGAGGTTGCAACAATTCGAGGTAAACTATACTCTTATATCCAGGAGGTTGCAACAATTCGAGGTGAACTATACACTTATATCCATGAGGTTGCAACAATTCGAGGTAAACTATACTCTTATATCTAGGAGGTTGCAACAATTCGAGGTAAACTATACACTTATATCCAGGAGGTTGCAACAATTCGAGGTAAACTATACACTTATATCCAGGAGGTTGCAACAATTCGAGGTAAACTATACACTTATATCCAGGAGGTTGCAAGGTAAACTATACACTTATATCCATGAGGTTGCAACAATTCGAGGTAAACTATACACTTATATCCAGGAGGATGCAACAATTCGAGGTAAACTATACATTTATATCCAGGAGGATGCAACAATTCGAGGTAAACTATACATTTATATCCAGGAGGTTGCAACAGTTCAAGGTAACCTATTCTTATATCCACGAGGTTGCAACAATTCATTATTTAACGGGATATTAGCCTCCTTGTTTATTTAACCCACGGGTTGACAGCCTCTTTGTTTAGTTAAACCACAGGTTTACAGCCTACTTGTTTAGCTAAACCACAGGTTTACAGCCCCCTTGTTTATTTCACCCACGGGTTTACAGCCTCCTTGTTTATTTAACCGACGGGTTTACAGCCTCCTTGTTTATTTAACCCACGGGTTTACAGCCTCCTTGTTTATTAAAATCACGGGTTTACAGCCTACTTGTTTAGTTAAACCACGGGTTTACAGCCTACATGTTTAGTTAACCCACGGGTTTACAGCCTACTTGTTTAGTTAAACCACGGGTTTACAGCCTACTTGTTTAGTTAACCCACGCGTTTACAGCCTACTTGTTTAGTTAACCCACGGGTTTACAGCCTCCTTGTTTAGTTAACCCACGGGTTTACAGCCTCCTTGTTTAGTTAACCCAAGGGTTTACAGCCTCCTTGTTTAGTTAACCCACGGGTTGACAGCCTCTTTGTTTAGTTAACCCACGGGTTGACAGCCTCTTTGTTTAGTTGACCCACGGGTTTACAGCCTACCAGGGATCCTTAAGAGCTCAGAGAATGTATCCAGATGTCGGCCTCGAAATGAATCCGATCCCTGCAATACAAGATAACGTCGAGATGCAGGGCAGGTTAGATTTCATCCAAGTTAATTTAGAACTAGGCTGATAGGGCCCCCTTTCTTAACAACAATGAACTATGTAAGTCGCCATTTTGAATTGTAATAATTTTTGTTGGAATTTTTTTTAAGCTTATGCATTTTTTGGCGGGGGGGGGGTGTATTTTGAGGGATGTGCACGCTACATGTAAAAAACAAGAGACAACAGAAAAAAAGCCACCTTTGACGATAGTGATGAGACGTAGGAGACGTATGCTTTGTTCGTTTCGAGGTTTTTGGGCCTATAAACCGCAGCTCACTCAGCTCACAAATACTCTGAACCTCCCAAACTTTAGAACTGTTTTCTGTGAAAGTTTGTTTTTATTAAACTTTGCAATATTTTTTTCCTAAGAGAAAATAAAAGGTAAAAACGAACAAATATTCCTTTATTGTATATATTTTCTCCCAGGGTCCAAATTTGGCAAGAAAGGCAAAGGTTTAGAAAAAACAAAACTTCTCAGATTCTTGTGGAACCTCTTAAAAGTTTAAAAACCTAGAAAGTTTGTTGCTCGTTGATGGCACTCCTTTTATGTTTAAAAAAATATATTTCAGAATGTCGTCTTCTGGCCCTGAAGATTCTGTGGTTCGTATTCTTCGAACTCTTGAGACCACATCATCTATATCTGATAGATCACACCATATACATTCTACTCCGGAGAGGTCACACCATAAACATTCTACTCCGGAGAGGTCACACCATATACATTCTACTCCGGAGAGGTCAAACCACATACATTCTATACCCTAGAGGTCACACCATGTACATTCTATACACTAGAGGTCACACCATGTACATTCTATACCCTAGAGGTCACACCATGTACATTCTATACCCCAAAGACTTTGCTAATTAGCAAAGTCTTTGCTATACCCTAGAGGTCACACCATGTACATTCTATACGCTAGAGGTCACACCATATACATTCTATACCCTAGAGGTCACAACATATACATTTTATACCCTAGAGGTCACACCATATACATTCTATACTCTAGAGGTCACACCACATACATTCTACACCCTAGAGGTCACACCTCATACATTCTACACCCTAGAGGTCACACCATATACATTCTATACCCTAGAGGTCACACCATATACATTCTATACCTTAGAGGTCACACCATATACTTTCTAATTAGAGGTCACACCATATACATTCTACACCCTAGAGGTCACACCATTATACATTCTATACCCTAGAGGTCACACCATGTACATTATATACCCTAGAGGTCACACCATATACATTCTATACCCTAGAGGTCACACCATATACATTCTATACCCTAGAGGTCACACCACATACATTCTACACTCTAGAGGTCACACCTCATACATTCTACACCCTAGAGGTCACACCATATACATTCTATACCCTAGAGGTCACACCATATACATTCTATACCCTAGAGGTCACACCATATACATTCTACACACTAGAAGTCACAATGTCCACATTCTACACCCTAGAGGTCACAATATCTACGTTCTACACCCTAGATGTCACAATATCTACATTCTACACTCTAGAGGTCACAATATCTACATTCTACACACTAGAGGTCACAATATCTACATTCTACACTCTAGAGGTCACAATATCTACATTCTACACCCTAGAGGTCACAATATCTACATTCTACACCCTAGGTGTCATAACATATACATTCTACACCCACGAGGTCACAACATATACATTCTACACCCTAGAGGTCACAACATATACATTCTAAGCCTAGAGGTCACAATATCTACATACTACACCCTAGGTGTCATAACATATACATTCTACACCCAAGAGGTCACAACATATACATTCTACACACTAGAGGCCACAACATATACATTCTAAGCCTATAGGTCACAATATCTACATTCTACACCCTAGAGGTCACAACATATAAATTCTACACTCTAGAGGTCATAACATTAACTTTCTATAATTTAGAGGTCAAAATTTGGTATATATTTGCAGTACAGTTAGTAAATTCTAAACAGTACGAAGTCTGCACCGTAAACATGCAGAAAGTACATCAATATCATCACATGATAGTTTCTCCATGAAGTGTTTTTATGTAAAATAAGTCATGTCCAATTAATTAATCAATTTAATGTTGTCTTTTATTAATCATGTGATTCGCCCTTTTATATAAAATAGTGCTTGAATATTTTAGAAATATATCCGTTAAAACAATTTAAAGTGAATAGTTTTCAGGTATTACTGTGCTTAAAAAATTTACTGGGCCAAGAAAACTTGAAATTTTGGATTTTAATTGATATTTCAAGATATTGGATGAAAAATGAATCTATAAAATCTAAATTTATTATGAATTGTTCTTATTTTTCTATTTGAAGAGAGAAAGCTACAATTTTGTTAAGCTTGATAATTCTTTATGGATAATTTTTTTATGTTCTTTACTCTTGAGTTTAAGATTTGAAAAACGTGTATAACAGCTCTGAGTTCTAGGGGTAGTCACTGCCCCCCCCCCCTTTATACGTATTATACATATGACAGCTATCATATTAAACTAAAATTGACTTTCAAAGTAAAATATATTTAAGTGAGAGTATGTCGAAGAAAACATATTCCAAACTATTCATCAACTAAAATGTTTTGGGGAACACCCTGTAGATTAACGAGTAAAATAGGAGTTTCGATTTTAAAGAAAAAGGATTCTGTAGGGGGGGTAAATTTTTTTGATGTGGCTCGCGAAGTGCGCCGAATTTTAGTTGGGTTTAATTTACATTTTCCACTCATTTTTGGCATTTACAAACTCCTTCAAATAAAGGCAATTCATTTCCTACCTTCCAGCTTTCTCATTAATTTATATCCTTTATTATATAGTCATTCATTTTCGTCAACTACAAAGATCTGTTAAAAGCCTGAATTTATTTTAAGTAACATTAAGAATAGTTTTACACAGGAAAAAGATGTTACTTTTTTACTTTAGAAAAGCTACTCTGCAAAACTTTGAAAAAATATTGTTGTCAACCATTAACTATAAGACCCCCCCCCCCGCCCATCCATGTAATGTCGTCTTTAACCTAAAATCACCTCTCGGAGACACCAAACCAAACAATTTTAGCCCTGCTTCTCTTTGTTCTCCGACAACGGAGTCTAAACACTTTTATTATTGTGAACCCATTTCAAAAGTTAAGCAAAGAATATTTTCATATAAAGAATTAGTGACTTTCGTTAACAATTAATTGTCATTCTTTTCAGAAGTTTTAATGTATAAAAACGTCTTAGGACTCCCCGACGGTTTTAATTCCTACAGATCCTTAAATTGATCGTAAGAATCTTTTCATTATAAAATTCGTAAACCATTGTAATAATTTATTTATCATTATACATTTCATTTTTTTTAGGAAATAAAGAGTTTTCTGCATTATCGATTTTGATTTGAGGGTTATTCCGTTGTCTATCTGTTCATCATTGAGAATCTTGTTCCTATCCGGCCGACAACAATTGTCTTTGTTTATATTCTAATTTTCAGAAGGCACAACTAGCACTTTTGCTATAGGGGGGGGGGGGCAAAATATTATTTTGTAATGGTCTGGGGGGAGGCTTGGACCCCCCTTTAGAAATTGTTTTCAAAATAAAAGTGCTTTTTTAAGGGTCGAAAAAGGAAATTTTCAGAATTGTTGCATGCAGATTTGGCTGTGTTAAATTCAAATCGTTGTTTTCTTGTGTTTTTTAAAAATTTATACTTTCAACAACTGTAAATTTAACGATATGAGTCAATCAATTCTTTTCAAGAAAATTTGTTAAATACCTTGTTTGATTACAGATAAAATTGCAAGAAATAATCAATTATATATTCTGGAAAAAAACATCAAAATAAATATATAATTTTAATCATCTACATAGAAAAAGGACAGATAATGTTACGTTTTCTCCTGAAGTTATTGAATTTATGATTGATCATTCTAGCCAACATTCATAATCTTATTTCATTTTCGATTTTACAGAAGTTCTTTCAAAGTAGATAAACAGGTAACAGTTATTAAATATGATAATCAGTTAGAAGTTTGCCAGGTTCACTCTCAGAATGTTCTCTAGATTTGGAACTGATTTTTTGCCACAAACTCAAATATTCTAATCCCTAAATCTTTGCACCGAGTGGTGTAAACATTTGATATTTCAAACTTGGAATATTTTACCAAAAAAATTCAAAGTTTAAATATAGTTCAGAACTTTTTTACATTAAATGTTTACAATAGCCTTTAGCCTTGAGAATTCAGAAAGATAAAAATATTATTTTTTAAACTAACCATAGAAGAATAAAATTTCTACAATAACTCTTTGGTTTTATTATTCCTGACTCCTGTGATACTGATATTCGCCAATCTTTCTTTTCATTCTACATGGGGGTCGTGCCCCGGCACCCCCCCCCCTCTCAGGTGCTAGGGGAGGATGCGCGCCCGGCCCCCCCCCCCCCTAGTTACGCCTCTGCTAATTTCTAATTTCTAAAATTTTCATGTCGTCATTATTTAGAAGAAAAAATGTATTCGTCATTGCCCGTACCCTTCTTTTTCTACTAAAAAAAAAACATCTAAATTTAGAATCATTTAGAATATGTTGACTTAAAATCTGAAATATCTGAAGTATCTGCACATATAAACTATTTTCGTGCAAATTTTAAAGATATTCAATTAAAAAATCAACCTTTTTTTAAAAAAATCTAGGGGGTTTAATTACCCCCAGGATTCTAGGGGGTGGGGGGTAAATAACCCCTCTATTTACGCCACTGTTAAAGAAACAAATGTAAACAAATGTTAACAAATATACAAGTAATGTAAACAAATTCAGTGGTCCTACAACCGGAGGTGTAGGACCGAAGCAAGAAGTATGGAATTGAATGGAGGAGGGGTCGACCCGGTTCGCCTGACCATATGATTGTACAATGTACATACTAAACAGATTGGTACTCCATTCGGAAAACAGTTTTTTAAAATGTCGTCTTTATTTTTTAATTGTGATTTTATAGTATATGCCATAGTTAATGAAACCGATTTTTTAATTATAAAAATTACCTTAATGTTTCCATCCCGCAAAATGTCTTTGTATCGTGTTATTCAGCATACTTTTCTTCCTGTGTAATGTATGTATAAAATAATCTATTTTAATTACATGGTACGTACGTACGCGACGTTTGTACATCAGACAACTATATACAGTGGCAGGCCATTAATCAATACAATGAAGACGACTTTCCATTTCAATTTAGATTTAAACCAAGCCGTTTAATAGCATGATTCATGAATACACTTAAAAATAGAAGTCAAGAGACGCTATCTTTACAATAAGCTTCTCTTTGATTACTTTTAAACTTGTAATTCGAAAAAAGCAAGTTGACAATCAAAACTTAAATAAATAAGTTGTCTTCATTGTATTGATTTAATCTCTTACCACTGCATAAAGGTGGTCAATGCTTTTTGGACTTAAGCTAGTATTTCTTTGTTGTTTTATAATAGTAAATATCGAAGAATAACGTAAACTAAGACGACATTTTAAATTTTTGTTGTTTGCCGTATTTATGTACCAAAAAAATAGTCCACGCTCATGAATTGATTATCTTATCTCATAATTTTCACCTTTTAAGTTTTATCATCATTAAATGTTGCAGATATAAATGATCCATATCCTGATAGATAGATATAAAGATTAAGATATATTGCTAAAATACATGTATCTGTGTACAGAACAAATTTACAATTACAAATTGATAATTATTTTAACAGTGCAAGTGCAAAATAGCTCTTGGCTGTTTTGATTGTTCTTTCCACCTAATTTCAATATTGATAAAAACACATTTCAATTAAATAGATTTAAGGAGAACTATTGAGATGAGGGTGCGATTTATCTTATGCAATTTAGTTTATAACTAGAGTTTAAAGTAATTTTCTGACATGTACATTGTACACAACAAATATCAAAGCATATTAAAACATATCTAATTAGTTTTACATGAATAGGAATTCTGTTTATAACACATTGTATTGTAATTTTCAAGAAGAGAATTCAGCAGTCTATTTTTAAATATACTTAGAGAGGTGCTTCTTTTTAAGTCAAGAGGCAGGTTATTCCAAATCTGTAAAAGAGAGCTTGATTGTTAATACTGTAGTAAACTTATATTGAAAATGTCAAGTTGAAAGTAAAGAGATCTTTCAAAGTTTTCAAGCTTTTTAAAAATGTTTTCAAAGATGCAGGAAGAAGTTAATGTGTATATTTAAACGTAAATATAGCTTGGTTAAAGTCTACCACATCATTATTATTTAGAATCTTATACTTAAGGAAAAGAGGATCAGTAATCTTTTATAGTTTTCAAGCTTCTTAAAATTTGTTTCAAAAGATGTAGTAAGAAGTTTATGTGTATATTCAATATTTATACATAAATATAGCTTGGTTTGGTCATTAATATTTAGAATCTTATACTTAAGGATAAGAGGATTTTAAGTTATTAATTAATCTTAAGGCGCGCTTCTGTAAAATGTGAATTTGTTTTATTTCCGAACATTTTTTTCTCCCAGGCTGAAATTTCATATTCTATATATGATCGAAATAAAGAGTTGTAAATGGTTAGTTTAATATTACTAGGAATTTTTATCTTTAATGATAAATTTGCCAAATTGCCAGAAATTATTACATTTAAAGAAAGAAACAACGATATCTTCCTCATTGTCACTCATTTAAAGGAGGGTTTGTTGACAGCAACATTTATCAAATATTTCAGATAAATCCTGGTTTGGTTCATGGTGTCATAAAATATGATGGGAATCAGTATGAAAGTATAAATAAATAGGAATAATATTGACGTTTTAATTTTCCTAACTTAATATTACGAACTCTGACATTTCTTATTTAAACTACAGGGTTACCCACAAAAGATGAGACTAAAAAGACGACCTGAAATTCTTTAAATATGACGTTTTTTATGGCTTTTGTATGAAGTTTTTATGGCTTTTATATGACGTTTTTATGGCTTTTTTATTGATTGGACAAAGAAACGAATACATCTACAGTTGAAGGAAATCCTAAAAATAAAGAAACACAGTTTTAACTTAGTAAAGTCGTCTCTGAAGTCTAAGCCTTTGTGGGTAACCCAGTACTTAGTTCTAATTCAAATTCTAATTTTGCGGATTTTCTACTCACATTTCTTTCTTTTCCTTGAAATTTACAAACTTTTTTATTACTATTTCAAATGGCAATTGCATAAGGGGCTCTACATGAAATATTTCAAACTCATCGTGAATCTGTTACTATACCATCATAGAACAACACTGTATACTTGCTTTTATAGATCAACTCCAAAAACCCTAAAGACCCTATATTTGACTAGTGAGTACTTAGTTCTAATTCAAAACTGATCTTGATTTAAAGCAATAAAAATTCTACATACTTCAAAACAAAATATTTTTAGTAATAATGTATTTATCAACTGTAAAGTGTAAGTTTAATCGATATTAAAGGGTTAATATAAATCCGCTAAGAAAGTTTGATTAATTGATTATAATTTTAAATTTTTGGAAGACGACATTGAGTTCCTGGGCGGTAGGACAGGCTGCCCTGTCTTTGGATATGGTTGTGCAGGGTCGTGAGTGGGAGTGGTTGGAGAGAGGGAGGAGGGGTGTCCTGAATCACAGCTTGAAGCACTTGAAAGGCGAGAATAGTGCTCTGGACGCTCAAAGCTCAGTCTGCTCGGAATCGGCCTTGAGCCTCCGTTCCAGACCGAAGAAGGTTGGACTCCGCTCCAGCCTACACGGTCTCCGTCGCAGACTGGAGAACCGGTTCCTTCTGAGATTGTATAGTACTCGTGGCCGGGTCCGTCTGACTCGACCGCCGAGTGCCGCCGGCGGTTTCCGGCCGCGTTATTTTCTTTCTGCACCGGGGACACCGATGGTATGTTCGGAGCTGCTCGTCTAAAAAAATTATATCTTTAAAAAAAGGTAAAACTTTAAAATCATTAATAAAACTAGTATGATAACTTTAAAATAAAATATTTCGTATATTTTGGAAAATGTTAGAAAATTCGTTCAGTTTTAACATATAATCGGCCTTTCCTTGAACAAATTTGAATAAAAATTTATTATTTATTATTTATTATTTATTATTTATTATTATATTTATTTGCATTTGTCGAGAATTCTAAAATAATTCTTAAAATTAAATCTTTTCTATACTAACGCTATATATTAAATATTTTAAAATCTTCCAAATATGAAAAATATAAATATTTTAAAGCTTTTTTTGCTTTTCGACTTTTTCTTATCTATTCTTTAAGTTACGTCACTATTTGACTTTTTACAATTACCGAGATTTAGGTAAAATAGCATTGAAAAATTGTCAAAATGACAATTTATAAATTCTTTCGCTTTCTCCAAAGTTCTTGGTTAAAATGTACAAACATCATTAATATTCCTCGACAAATTAGAACCTACAATAGAACATTCTTTAGAAATATTTTCATTAATATTCCTCGACAAATTAGAACCTACAATAGAACATTCTTTAGAAATATTTTCATTTTGAAACCAGGAATATTCTCAACTTGAGAAACTTTATAATATTGAAAATGCGGCAGGAATATTTTCTTGATACTTCATGTAAAACTTTTTCTTTTAATCCCCCCCCCCCTGGCTTCACCAATTCCCTGGGGGAAAAAGGAGAAATGTTTTAATGGAAGACATTTTGAAAATTTCCATTCCATTAGAAAGAGTAAAAATTCGAAACAAAATCCCCATCCTCGACCTTGGTTTAGTTTCCAAATATAAATTTTCAACTTTTATCAGATAAAGGTTGATTTTGTTTTCATTGTGATCACAGGTATTCAAAATATCATTTATCTGTTTTTGTTTTCTAATTCAAAAATTTTGGAAATTCCTGTGAAAGTTTAAATATTTTACAAATGAAGGATCACTTAAAACCCTCTGAAGGGGTCGATAAATTAATTCAGTCATCTTTGAATGGTATCAATTTTTTTCATCTGATGTTTGAGTAATGAAGAAAAAATACAGATAAACTCTTAAATAGAAAGACGACTTTTCGAACAAGTAATAACTTTTAAAAGTTCACTGAGCATAAGATGCCGCAATTGTGCAGTGTTAACAGACCTATTTTACTAAATTTGTGATTTAATTAGTGTCTAGTAAAACTTTTTGCTTCGTAACAACATCAAGCACACTGAAGTATTGGGAAAAATATCGTATTCCAATTCAACTGTAAAACAGATTCGTAGCATAAAATCCAGCGAAATCGAGCATTTGGGAGCAATGGGAGACATATAGCGGCTGCAATCATATAAAACTAAAACTATATTTGAGTGAACCGAATTCAATTTAGATTTTTTTAATGCTGAAAGTAAAAGATCAGTGTGAAATTTATAGAATGCATTATGTTTTATTTAATTTTCTCATTAATCATAAGTTAAAAATCAGATAAAAAAAAGATTGATACCATTCGATACCTAAATTTATATCAGGTTTAGACAATAACCCCTTTCATTTTTCGCTAACAACAAAAAATCTCTAGGTTTATCCAAAATATAAAATAAAGATGAAAAAGAGAGTTGAAACATGATATGCTCATTGCTCACTGCTCAACCAGAGAGAATTACAGAGAGAGAATTACAGTCAGAGGACTAAGGAATCTTAATTAGTCCGATGAACATGAAAACCAGTATTTCACGTTTAAAGATTATTTTCAAGCTAATAATAGAACCTGCTACCTTCAAAAAAATATTAAATTCACCTATATTGTTAACATTTCACAAATAAATGTTTTTTTTAAAGATAAATATAAATACAAAATAGAAGTAAAAATGTGTAATGTGTTCTAATAATGTTTAAGACCTATTCATTTTCTATCTTTTTTGAAAAAAAAATATTTAAAAAATACAATTTCATTTAAATCTATTAGTTATTTATAGATTTAACCAACTTCTGTTCAAATCTATTTTTTCATTTATAATTAATTTTTTTTTCAAAGAAAATTCAAACTTATTCAATACATTTCAAGAGTTTCAAGTGTTGATGTTGAGGAACATTGAACATCCTACAAGTTGAATCAACCCCATCAAGATTGGGGGGCTGATCGGTGTCAAAAAAAAATTTTAAAAAGCGAATAATTTTTTATTATTTTAAAGCTATAGATCTAAAATTCCTTTATTTGAAAACCCTTTAAAAGTGGATGCTATAACATGTGGCACATGTTAATAATTGTCAAAAGAACCCATCTATTTTTTTTTGAGCAGGCCTTGAAAAAATGGACAATGAACATATATCACACTCTTCTATCTCAACACTAAGGGAAAAATAATTTTAGAGTTTTTAAAAGAAAGTTTAAATACTCTTTAATAGTAAGCTTGTTTTCGAAACATTGCGTTCAATACAGTCCCATTCAAAATTCATAAATATCTCCTTAAATATGACTTTTTTTAAATTCTAAATAGTCATTTAATGATATTGTAAATGTTTTTGAACTTTTTCCCCCCTCTTTTTAAAATTCAGTGATATAACGCATCCATATTTCTTCTAAAAGTTTTTAAAGGGACAGGGTGTCCCACGAAACATGCAGTTGGTGAATAGTTTTGAAGGTCTACTTCCATAAACTGTACTAGTCATAACATTAATTTTGCAATTTATTTCTTGTAAAAAAATCTTTTTCTTAAATAAAGTTCGCTTTGAAATCAATTTTAATATAATATAACTACCATATATATTTTTTATTATTCTCTTTGGCATCAAACAACCTAACAAATTATGGAAGATGACATTTTTAACAATCACCAACTGTCATGTTTCGTGGGACACCCTGTAGCATTCTATTGGATAGAAAAACATAAAGTCAGTATATTTTACCTATAGCTTTTGTAGTTCGTTGTAGCAGTAATCTTCTGCCCAGGGTTCCCGCTGACTGGCTGCGAGCTGTGGCGTGGGGAGGGCGTGCTACCGGGGTAACGCCCCTTTGTGGCAGGGGGCGTGGTGACTGGAGATATAGAGGCATGCTCCCCCGTGGGGCGTGCCCCGGGGTCGACCGCGGAAAGGCGGCGGGGGAGCGGGACCGGCCGTTTGCCACGCCCCGGAGTGGGAATACGCCCTGGAGAGGCGGAGGGGGGCGGTTCCTCCCCGCCCCCCCGTCCTGATGTTAGGGAGGGTTTTGAAGTTCGAGACTTTGGCAGCGGATCTAAAAAATAAAATCAGTTAAAAAAAATGTCCAGGTCTAAATTCAATGACAACTTAGTTCAAAGTCAATTTTGGTCTAATTCAGTCTAATGAGTCTAATCTGCATTTGATCGTTTCACCGGATGAACAGTTCATGAACAGTAAATACTTATATTTACTTAAATTTTGAACACTGCCTTTGCGATTTTAAGGTTTAAGATTTATGTGTCCTTTAAACTTTCTTCAATCTTATAATTACCCGCTAAATAAAGTTTTATGAACATCTTACTAAATTATAAATTAAGAAAGGATGTGAATATTGTAATATCAATCTACTCATCAATACACTATTAATCCATCTATCCATTCATCCTTCAGTATCTATAAATATATATATCTATAGATAGATAGATAGATAGATAGATAGAAAGATAGATAGATAAATAGATAGAGATAGAGAGAGAGAAAGAAAGAGCAGGAAAGTTTTTGACCGGACGGAATCAAGGTTGTCTTCGAGAAGAGTCGATTTTTTTTGTTTATTAAAATTTGCCCATGAACACAGAATAATCCGCACACTTTATATAATGTGTATTGTAAAAAATGGTGTTTAATGATGTTTTACAACAAGAATATCGTTTGTGCAATATTACTTGCATGGATTGAAGAGGCCTGATACGTTAGGAATATAAAGAAAGAACAAATTTGGAATCAATTAGATACCCCCCTGGCCAACTAATCATCCCCCTCCCCCCTCCAGGGTGGTCAATGCTTTTTGGACTTAAGCTAGTATTTCTTTGTTGTTTTATAATAGTAAATATCGAAGAATAACGTAAACTAAGACGACATTTTAAAATATGTCTATGTCTATGTCTATGTCTATGTCTATGTCTATGTCTATGTCTATGTCTATGTCTATGTCTATGTCTATGTCTATGTCTATGTCTGTCTATGTCTATGTCTATGTCCATATCCATGTCCATGTCCATGTCCATGTCCATGTCCATGTCCATGTCCATGTCCATGTCCATGTCCATGTTCATGTCTATGTCTATGTCTATATGTCACTGCCGATTTTACTGTTCATTAAGTGTGAAAACGCATTTTAAGACTGAGAACTAACAATAACAACACAAGAAAAGACAATAATTTAAGAAACAAAATAACGAAATAAAAAGTAAAAAATCTAAAACTTACTTTTACTGCGACTGACTAGATCTAAGTCAACATTAACATATTGACGCAATTGTACGGCTTCCCCTTGTTTATGCTGGTGTACAGGCTCGTCCTGTACATGTTGTACATGTTTAACCTCTGAGTTATCTTCCTTGATGCTTGTACCGTCATTGTGCCCTGGTACGTTCATGTACACAGACGCTCTGCTTGAAATAGTTGAATCCCAGCTTTCGCAATTTTTTACAGATTCGTCTTTTCGAGGAGAGCAATGTTTCGATGAACTATGTTCTACTTTAAGAACAATTTTATCCGACATCTCTAGATGAGTAGGTTGTCCAAGCTTAATGTTCAAGGATCCGTTCTTAAACTCAACATTGGCAGCAGACTTTCCAACCAGCTTGTGATTGCAGAAGGCGCGGGACCGCAGATTAGGCGCGGAGCTAACCTGTGACCGTATGGAGGGTTGCCCGGTATGCTGCTGGCTGGGAGGGTTGGGCTGAGAACGAAATTCTTCTTTTACTGACATCGTCGACATGCCGGAGTCTCGGGAGCTGATAGTAGAGAAACTCATGTCATGGCTTTCCCCCCACATCTAAGCCAAGCAAAATAAAAATAAACAAAAAAATTAACTACAAAAATAATCTAACTGAACGGACAACAGTAAAAAAATGCTGAATACTTTAATTCATTGGGAAAAAATGTTGTGAATATAGTAATCAGAATTTCTTTGAGAACACAAAAAACTGCAGTCCGCAATCAAATAATTTGAGTTTTGACAAATCTTAAAATATATGATTTCGTGCATTATTTATTTTTCAATTTCAAAAGTATAATATGAATGAAGTAAAACATGGAAAATGAAAAAAAGAAACTTGTAAAAACATTTTTTAAAATTTAAATGTGAAGTAAATGATATTTTCAGCGTCTCTTGATTTATTTGTGAAATTTGTAAAAAAAAAATTATTTTCCCCCAAAAAAATTAAATTTCATTTTTATTTTCACCCCCTAAAATATGCCATGATTTGTCGCCAATCAAGGAAAAGCATAAACCCCCGGACCCAAGATTATTGTTTAAATCAAAATAAACAAATGTTCCCTCTAATACTAACTCCTAGGACTACAACAATAAATAAAGGCTTAAATAACACAACATTATGGACTATAAAGGTTAACATGCATTGCACCATCTATACTCATTCAAAAATATAGGGGGACAAATACACGTTCATATTTGGACTAAAAAGAACTCATTCATCCCTATATATTTGAACTATATCCTAATATGTATGGACTATAAAGTTCTCGTTCATCCCTATACATTTAGACTATATCCTATATATTTGGACTATGAAATACTCGTGCATCCCTACATATTTGGACTATATCCTATATATTTGGACTATGAAGTACTCGTTCATCCCTACATATTTGGAGTATATCCTATATATTTGGACTACGAAGTACTCGTTCATCCCTACATATTTGGTCTATGTCCTATATTTTTGGACTATGAAGTACTCGTTCGTCCCTATATATTCGGACTTATAAAAAGTACTTGTTCATTCCTTTAGAACTAACCTCGCTAACGTTGATGTATGGTCGAGTAGGAGAACGAGGAAGAGATCCACTTATAGTTGCTCGACGTTGAGGTGCAGACCGTGGTCGTGACAGTACAGACCTAGAACAGTACAGATCTTGAGTACAGGCCGGGACAGTACAGCTATATACACTCTACTGCACAGATCTCTTTTAGAGGTCGAAAAAATGAGGGTTTGTGTTTTAAACCAAATACATTCTCCTGACGTCTAAATATTAATATATTGGATATTTGGATACCAAGCTTTATGTATATAAATGAATATATAAGTATATAAGGGCATAATGAAGAGTAATCAGTATTTTATCAGGAATCGATAACTATTATATGCCAAACATCTTATCTATACAGTTTATAAAAACTCTACAGGTTCAGCCATATCACACTTAAAGGAAATTTCGACGTAGTTTTAAATGGCCCTTCATTTAAAAATTGTAAAAAATGTTTTGTTTAAAGAGTATTAAATCTAAAGCTTCTAATTAAAATATTCCGGGTATATAATCCAGACTGCACAAGCTTTACACTTGAAATATTTATCAGAAAATCTGCTAACCTTGTATAAAAAAGTAAATGTTAATTAAAAAAAAATATTTTGCAAACAAAAATCGAGAATTGAAGCCATTTTGCACATAATTAATCTTATTTTCTGTTTTAGTTCTTACAATTAAGTATCTGGAGCAGTTAATTAAAGCTTGCAGTACACTGTACAGCGTACAATGATCATTGTTCTTACAGTTTAAGTTTCTTCACCTACTGTACAGTTGATTTAACAGTACATCCTTATTTTGCCAACCCCCCCCCCCCCCNGAACACTGAAAGAAACGTGAATAAGTATTTAATATCCCACAGTGTAATTGTACACTGAAGGAAACAATGAAAGAAACGTGAATAAGTATTTAATATCCCACAGTGTAATTGTACACTGAAGGGAACACTGAAAGAAACGTGAATAAGTATTTAATATCCCACAGTGTAATTGTACACTGAAGGGAACACTGAAAGAAACGTGAATAAGTATTTAATAACCCACAGTGTAATTGTACACTAAAGGGAACAATGAAAGAAACGTGAATAAGTATTAATCCTCTGGGAAAATCGAGATCAACTGATCAGGATTATGAGTATTCAACATTAAAGTTCCCCGTGTCCGAATTTAATAAATTTAAGCCGCAGCTCAAATTCTTTAAATTCGGCCTCCGCTCAGTTAACTGCCTCTCACCACTTTTATCCATTCCATTTTAAGACGGAATCCTTATCCAAAACTGAGTCCGAATTTAGCTCAAAACTGAGTCTGAATTCAGCTTAAAACTGAGTCCGAATTCAGCTCAAAACTGAGTCAGAATTCAGCTCAAAAATGAATCCGAATTCAAATAAAAAATGAGTCCGAATTCAGCACAAAACTGAGTCCGAATTCAGCTCAAAAATGAGTTTGAATTCAGCTTAAAACTGAGTTGGAATTCGACTTAAAAATAATTATTTATGTTTTATTTTCTTAAACAAGAAAAAATTCCTAAAATTTGTTTTCTCTTCTTTGGTTTTAAAGAGAGATTAAGAGACTTTCGCAGATCTTATAAACACTTTCCATTAATGTTAATAATGTTTTCAGAACAAATTTTTTTTGCGTTTAATTCAAAGGGCAAAAATTTTGTCCACTTTTTAGTCCGTGGACTTTTACACCAATATTGAGCATAAATTATGTGGAAACATTTTTATTCCAATTAAACATATATCTGTAATTCTGTATCTAATTTTTCCGAAATATATTATAATATTATTATTATAATTATTATTATTATTATTATTTTGGCCAACATAAGTTCATGTATAATGTACTGTACATTGTACTCCTTTCATGTTAAAGTGGTTTGAGAAAGTGCAGTGGTTTAATAAAGAAGTGTCAGTTACCAGGAATCAGGAATTGTAAAGAATCCTAGAAATTGCAAAGAGTAGAACTTCTGATATTTCTCTTCCTTGAAGGTTAGATCTTGTAATGTTTCAAATTCACAGAATACTTATTCAAGAAATCTTACTACAGGGATATATAATCTTGAGACATCACCCCCCCCCCTTTGAAAATAATTTTTTCCCACCAGGATGTCTAAGCAGAGCGAATACCTTCTTACAGTGTGAAATGTGTGAATTGAATGATTTTTAGGTGAAAAAATAAATAACGTATGAGTAACAACTAATAATAAAGGGTAAAAAAGATTGCCAACTTTTCATTTTCCCCCCAGAGCATTGGAAACTCTTAAAAACTCTCTTAATAAACCAGCGAAATATAGTAATATTATGTTCTTAATCTTTTAAAACAAAACTAAATATTTTTCATTTTTCAAGCATTGAAGACTATATTTGTAGATGTAGATTACATTGAGATGCATGGATGACAAGATAACCAAATAAAGACTTGAGCTGAATTCCAGGGAGAATTAGTTAAATAAATCAAATGAAGGACCATATTTGACATCAAGTACAAAAGGAAATTAGTGCAGTAGAAATACAAAATATGTGCAACCTAGCTTTTAACCAGACAGTAGTTTTTCCCCTCAAAAACGCTGGATGTCACTTTTTATACAAAATCTCTAAACTGAACTTGTTTCCCCTGCATTCTCAACAAGCCTTATTTGGTTAAACAGAAAATGTGAATGAACAAAGAGTGAATGAGGGGAGGGTTGGGGAGATAGGGTTTAAGTTGACGTTAACAAGAAGAGAGGATAAGTAGAAACATTAATAAATTAGATGAGAGTAAATCAATAAAGTTAGAAAGAGAGAAAATCATGAATTTTACCTAACGAGAGGTTCAGCAAAGGGGGAGGGGTGCTAGGGAAGCCCTTGAAAAAACCTCAACCCTCCCTGTAAATATCCCCCCCCCCCCGGCGTAAGGAACTTTAATGTTGTGGATATAGAGGATATACACAACATGCTTAATCTTGATTAATTTAATCTTTATTTAACATCCCGCAGTGTAATTGTACAGTGTACAGTGAAGGGAACACTGAAAGAAACGTGAATAAGTATTTAATATCCCGCAGTGTAATTGTATACTGAAGGGAACACTGAAAGAAACGTGAATAAGTATATCCCCTTTCCCATCAATATCTTTTAGATTATCATGTCAATCACTTTAAATCTTTCATAAAAGGTATAAATAGTCTTAAATAAAAATAAGGCAATGACTAAATTAATATAACTGTTCTTATTCAATGTTGTGGAAGCATGCACCACGTAAAACTGAGTTAAACGAAGTATAAATCCTGCCTGTATCGACATATTTTGATCTCTAATTTTAAACCTGTCGATATTGGCGTGAAGCAGTTTAAAAATGGTTGTTAAGTTCAGGTTTACCAAATTTTAACCAGGACTCCCAAATTACCGTGAAATGTGGAAGCAGTAATGAGACAGCAGTATTAAGGTCGCACTCATGAGGAGTGCGACTGTTCTAATGAGAACAAATTAGACTGCAGTACTAATGAGGACGCAGTATTGAAGAGGGAGGATGCACTTTGGGGACGCACAAATGGATATACTAGCCCGGCAGATATAGTAAATGCTTGTAATGGTCTATAGTTATAGTGAACGTCAATAAGGTATCGCAACGAATTGCTTGCACACGAATGAAAGGTTGATACGGTACGGGAAGATCTGTACAGTGTACATGTCTGACGTCACTGATTAACACTATTGGTGGAGAATTCCCAGTCCGCCAAAGAACTGCCTATCACGATGATGCGAATACGGCAGACAGTTCTAGGACCCATGCCCTATCCTGTTGTGTCCTGTACCGATGACATAGACAAGGTACAGAAGCTCGAATCACTAGAATTGTATAACTACATTAAACTATTTTAGTACCCATGGTTATACCTGAGGGATGCTGTAGGAGATACGTTAATCTTATTCCTCTCAATCTGTCCCACAACCACGCTTGCTGCAACAGGTAGAAACGCTTCGTCATTCTCGGAGTCCGAATCCTCGGCCTCCGTCAGGTGCTCGTCGGAGGAGGTGGAGGACGGAGGTTTCTTCTTGATCGGGATACTTACATCAGGAACAACAAGGAGCTCCGTCCTAAAGGACAATTAGTTAGTAAGGACAAACAGAGTTTGTTACCAAAAAAGAATGAGACAGTAAAGATGACCTAAAAACTTTTAAAATATATAGATTCCAGGGTTAATTTAAGTCCTTTGCCTTGAATATTGGCTTATTAAATGATTTAACAGAGAAAGAAAAAGTTAAAAATTTTCAGAGAATCATGAATTGAGGGAAACACACATTTAAATTCGGTAGAGTCGTCTCTGAAGTCTCATCCTTTGTAGGTAACCCTGTCTATACTGTATCAATAATAAATATTGTTGAAAATCATTCATTAACACTCTCTGCAAAAATCATGTAAAAGGAAGTTATAAAGTGGCATGTCGGATTCTACGTGGTCTCCTTTAAACCGTAGTTTCATCAAAAATGAGTGAGATATGAAAAAATTGATTATTTTCAATTGTGGTTACGTATCATCTTTAAGTTACTGATTTATGCAGCAGAGCGGATAAAGGAAGTTGTGATAACTTAACCTTTTCAAACATTGTTACTCAGATCGGAGTTATAAAGTGAATTGTTGTGAATTGAAATTAAGTCCACAGTCCCTTTATATTGTATACAAAGTTGAAATTGATATGAATTTGATTTTTTAGGATTCTTTATCGATGAATTATTTTTTTGACAAAATAAAAATATCTCAAGCTTTTTAAAATGCATAATATTTTGAAAAGCAAGACCTCCGAATGTATCTCTTTAATTTAATATTGATAAATATGTATTTTTTTCAAATTTAAAAACTGAGTTTAAAAATTAAAAAAAAATTGAGATAACATGAACATTAGATTTTTAAGAACTAATCTGTAAAACATGATATAGTATACTTTAAAGTTTTTATATGCCACAGTATTATGGAGACTGCTGTATTATGTGATTTTTAGAAGCTTTGACTTGGTTTAGTTCCTGAATGGTTTCATATAAACTTGTCCTAGGAGATTCGAATGCTTCGGTCTTTTCTTGAGCGTTAAAATCACTTCTCCCGGATTTTCTCCCATCAGTTGCAGAACCTTCTTGGTCTGCCAACCAACCACAGTCTGGTAGTTTACCTACAACAAATATTAATTCAGGGGTTTCCACAGTTACAGTTCAAGTACAATTCAAGTACAGTACAGTTACAGTTCAAATACAATTAAAGTACAGTAAAGTTACAGTTACAGTACAATTAAAACACTACAGATACATGTTCATGTACATATCAAGTATATATTAAGTACAGTTCAAGGACAGTTTAATGACAGTTTAATTACAGTTTAATTACAATTTAATTACAATTTAAGTACAGTTTAAGTACAGTTAAAGTACACTTTAAGTACAGTTTAAGTTCAAATACAGTTTAAGTTCAAATACAGTTCAAGTAAAGTTTAATTACAGTTTAATTACGGTTTAAGTACAGTTAATTACAGTTAAGTACAGGTTAAGTACAGGATAAGTACAGGTTAAGTACAGGTCAAGTACAGGTCAAGTACAGGTTAAGTACAGGTTAAGTACAGGTTAAGTACAGTACAGTACAATACAGTTACAGTACAAATAAAACACAGTACAGTTAAGTACAGAACAGTTACAATTCAAGTACATATCAAGTACATATTAAGTACAGTTCAAATACAGTTGAAGTACAGTTTAATTACAGTCTTATTACAGTTAAGTACAGTTAAGTAAGGTTAAGTACAGCTAAAGTACAGTTTAAGTACAGCTCAAGTACAGCTTAAAGAGTTCAAGTACAGTTTAATTACAGTTCAAGTACAGTTTATTTACAGTTTAAGTACACTTTAAGTACACTTTAAGTACAGTTTAAGTACAGTTTTAGTATAGAAAGTACAGTTTAAGTATAGTATAAGTACAGTTCAACGTGAGATCAAGTACAGAAAAAGTACAGTACAGTTCAAGTGCAGAACAGTTCAATTTAAGTCCAAGTAAAGTATAGTTCAAGTACAGTTCAAGTACAGATCAAGTACAGAGTTGGGAACTTTTAAAATGAAAGGTTTTTGAAAAATTGTAAAAAATCGATTAAATCTTCATTGAAAAGGATAGGGTTAAAAAACGATAGATTTTTTTATGAAAGAACGATTTTCTTTTTAAAAATTCTAAAAAAACGATTGTTGTTTCATGAACAAACAATTGTATCAATGAAAATTTTACTGAACGATCGTTCAGTAAGATACGACCGAAATAGATGGAAATTAAAATATAACTTTAAGAACAAACAAAATCTTCTTTTTGAACGATGGAAAAAACGAACAAAAAGGGTTATTCACAAATGATAAACAAACGAAATAAAAAAATTCATCGTTAACGGGACTGTACACGTAATTTCGAGTGGCCTTTCGATAAATAAAGAGCCCCACTTCAGATTCAAAAAGATACTTTATGAACCTTTTTATCAATGTTTGACTTAAACTTCACCTTGATAAAATAGACAAGAGGTTTACAATTAAAATTAAAATGTTGACATTAACGTAATCTACTTTTCTAGAAAACATTTGACGAGAACAAAAACATCAATTTTCTTTTCCTTTTCAAGTTTTAATTTAAAACTAATTTTCATGTTTTCCACAAGCTTAAAATTTAAAGATTTTATTCTGCGAATGTCTCTAATTTCGAATTTTTGCAAAATTTACACATTGAATTTATATGTATATACTTTGCTTGTCATGGTGTTTGTTTGTTTGTTTGTATCCAATAAACGTCAAAACGGCTGAACCGATCAAGCCCAAATTTTTGTGGAACCTAACATGACCCCAGGGAAGGTTTATAGATGATCAAATTTTCCAAAATTTTCCTCCATTAAAATCCAATTTTCATTGAATTGTTTTAAATCAATGAAATTTTGTTAAAAAAATCCGCTAACTTTTTGGCTTTTGTTTTACATTGTATACAGAGAGAAAATGTTCTCAATTGAAATAGAGAACAGCCTGAAAAAAATTATTTTTATACGCAAATTTTGCGTCTTTAAAAAAGATTAATATTGAACAACTCAACCATTAATTTACAAAAAATGGTTTCGATAAAGTTGTATCTTAAATTTTCCTCTAAGCTTTCTGTTTATCAGTTTAATTAAGCTAATTATTATTTATCATTAATTAATTATCAAGAAAATCCCAAAGGCAAAGTGTAGACACATTCTACTAATTAATGATTAAAGTAATTACTAGAAGCGAAAAATCTGATAAACTTTAATATCAGTATTTTCAATTTTGTTCACTTACATCTGGAATTTATAGTTTGAAGAGTCTATAGAAGAAACTTTAATTTAATGATTTCTAGGAGCAAAATAAATGAATATTTGGGAATAAAGCATCACAAAAAACTTGTCTTTTGATATCCAATATTTTTTTTAAATAACACCCATTGTGTTAAGGCAAAGGATTATGAAACTTATTGAATCGTACCACTCCCTTTAAATTGTAATTTTCTGATTTCTATACTTTTACAATCTGATGATGTAATCCGTGTAAATCTTTATATTTTAGACTTTAGCTATTTGATATAGCCAACGAGGTTTTAGTGTATAGAGTGCTGATGTACGCTAATCCTTTTCTAATTGTACAGGCCGGGAACTATATCTGGAGTGTACTGCTTACTCGATTATTATAGAGACTCTGTCCTAACTTATAGTGTATATTACTAGTAAACAGTTGAAGTGTACGGTACAGCTAACTGAGCACACAGGTAGATAACTATCATCCCACTGGAGTGATAAGCCGATTGCTTTGTTTACCTAACTCCTCCTCAGTCTTCTTCCTGACCGTCGCAACATCCAGGCTGGCCGGCTGGAGGAGTAGCGGGTCTGTTACCTCACGTATACAACAGTCTGCCAGCTCACCTAGCTTATCACAGCAGGATCTAAACAAAGCAGAATTTATAGAGTGTAATGTTAAAATATTAAGACAGTTCCTTTTGGTCTTTGTATGGAGGAATATAGGTTATGTGCAAACATTTACTGCAAAATATGACCAATATTGCACGTAGTGAAGAAAACCGGTTTTGAAACTTATGAATACTGTACAGTATGGATCAGTTTTTAGAAAACCGAGTAACGGGAAAGTTATAATATATTTGGATATTATTTTGACCGAGCGATAACCGTAATTACGGATTATCCAGATAAATATTCTACGAAGACAGAGATCATTGTTTACAAGCTGTTGTTTATTTAACAAAATAATTATTGTACAGTTTTGATAGGTCACAGTTACATCACCTACTCAACCCCTCCCCCCCCTCCNACTGTGACTTGGACAATATAGAACGGTGACTTGGACAATATAGAACTGTGACTTGGACAATATAGAACGGTGACTTGGACAATATAGAACGCTAGTTTTAGCGCTAAAAGAAAGTAAAAGCCTAATAAAATAAATACGATTGGTAAAATCGCAGTAATTTACAATGAAGCATGTAAAATTTATATTTTAAAAATAAGAAAAGTTGACGATATTGCTTCATAAAATATCTAAAAATAATTTATCGAAATATGCAACCCATGCACAAAGTATATATTTTCGAACAAGAAAATAAAAAAATGTTAAATATGACAAGTAACACGATGCCGGTGTTGTATGAATTTAATATTTTACCGAGCATGAATCTAAAAAACTAGGAACTGAATATTAAACAAGGAGACTTGGAAAGAATATTTTGTTAAAATTCTGCCAACAAGGCTCAACAAGGAAATGTTCGGAATTCTGAAGAAGAAAAAACTTCTTAAGAACAGAATTTTATCTTACATCAAAGACATGAAAGACATGATAGACGTGTTAAATGAAACAGTAAATATTCTAAGTTATAAAAAGTAATTTTAAAACTGCTAAGTCAACAAAAATAACAGTTTAAAAAATATAATAAGTTCTTTAATCTTGTTCAAATATATTATTGAAAAATAACAAAATAAAATTTCCCGGATTAGTCAGATATGAATGGCGGATTTCTAAAATTTTTGGTTGTTAATGCAAATTTTTATACGAAGACTGAAACTTCCCACTGGGATTATTTTAATTTGCACACAAAATTTGGACTCAGACGATTATTGGATGCGAACATAACAGACAAGCCAAATATAAATATGCAAACATGTCAACATACACTGAGGCTATTATCATTAGTTTTTTCGCAATTTAATGGTTAAAAACAAACAAAGGGGGTGAAATAAAAAAATATATATAATTTATATCTACCTGATAACATCAATAGGCTGTTCTGCAAATGCTTCTCTGTGGGCGTTTGTTGCCAACTCCAAACTTATACTAATTAGGTTGGTTCGAACCTAAATATACATTATTATTAGGACTGTTCGAACCTTAATATTCATTATTATGATTGTTCGATCCTAAATATACATTATTATTAGGTTGGTTCGAACCCAAATATTCATTATTATTAGGATTGTTCGAACCTAAATATTCATTATTATAAGGACTGTTCGAACCTAAATATTCATTATTATTAGGACCGTTCGAACCTAAATATTCATTATTATTAGGATTGTTCGAACCTAAATATTCATTATTATAAGGACTGTTCGAACCTAAATATTCATTATTATTAGGATTGTTCGAACCTAAATATTCATTATTATAAGGACTGTTCGAACCTAAATATTCATTATTATAAGGACCGTTCGAACCTAAATATTCATTGTTATTATGACTGTTCGAATCTTAATATTTATTATTATTAGGAATGTTCGAACCTAAATATTGATTATTATTAGGAATATATTCGAAAATAAATATTCATTATCATTAGGACTGTTCGAACCTAAATATTCATTATTATTAGGATTGTTCGAACCTAAATATTCATTATTATTAGGATTGTTCGAACCTCAATATTCGTTATTATTTTAATTGTTCGAACTTAAATATTCGTTATTATTTTAATTGTTCGAACCTAAATATTCATTATTATTAGGATTGTTCAGACCTAAATATTCATTATTATTAGGATTATTCGAACCTAAATATTCATTATTATTAGGATTGTTCGAACCTAAATATTCATTATTATCAGGATTGTTCAAACCTAAATACTCATCATTTTCATTATTATTATTGTTCGAACCTAAACATTCAATATAATGGAATCGGTAAAAAATTAATTTCAAAAGAATTACCACTGCAAAGGTAAGTTGATTTCCAAACCCTATAAATGCTAAGAAAAACAAAATCGATTTTCAATAGTTACAAAACTTGATATTAGTAAAATAAAATTCTTTTGTCATGCGTATTTTTTAATTTAGAAAACGACAGCTTAGAACAGGAAAACAATCACTGCTGTTTTAAATTTTATTTTACATTAGGACATGTCAAAATGTTTTTACTCTTTTTCCTTAGAAAAAAAGAGTAATTTCTCGTTAATTGTGATTCCTAAATGGATATGTTAAATTAGCAAACTGAAAACACAAAATAAAAATAAAACAATTTTTTAGTCGATGATAAATATCAAAAACCTTTATTCTAAAAATATCATTTCAAGACGGTCTTTATCAGGAAAAAAAAATTACATTTTATATTTCAAAAGCATAATTTGTAGAGGAGAAATATTTCAATGCAAATATTCGGAGAATATTTACAAAACTGCGAGATTTGAATCTTCTTGTTTTTTTTCCAAGTTGACAGTTAGATTTCAGACAATGCAAATACATACCTATTTACACTTACCACAATAAGCCAAATTGTTTCAAATTTTGTCAAAAATGCTGAGAAAGAGGGCGGAGGGAAAAATATATAAAGTTTTCCAAAAATTAAGCCAACAATTAAATGAGTGAAAAAAGAATTGGAGGTTCAAATAGAAAAATTAAGAGGAATCAGAATATTTTTAAGAAAAGTTTAATAAAGATGATTTAGGTAATTTATCAGAATTTATCAAAAATAAAAAAGATTAAATATATTTTTTAAATGACAGAATAGACAAAACTTTAACGTTTTCCAATGAAGGTTCAAAAGAAAAAACTTTTTTTTAATTTTAAACACGCTTTTTTAACATACATTTTTTAATTGGATTAACAGGGTTAACAGTTGACAATCAGAGCGTAAAGGCATGGTTTGTTATACATTCTAAACATTGCAACACTGGTTAACATGTTTTTGTTTAAATAGACTTTAGACGTTATTCACAATCGTACAATCGTGTAATCGTACAGTCGTACAATCCTACAATCGTACAATCGAAATCCTTTATCCACCAGTTCCTTTTACAGTAAAACCACAATTCAAAATAATCAATTACAATCTATAAAAACGTGGATGTCTCATTAATCCTCTGTAAGACAAAGGTTTAAAGGATACCATTGTGAATGTGAATCAGATATGTCACTCAATAAATGCCCGGGCACTTGAAATGACCAAAACAGTTCTTTTTTAAAATTAAAAACTAGAATTAGACGCAAAATTGATCAATTACTGATCAAATTACTACAGATCTACCGAAAGGTAACAAATTGGTTTACAGATTAGAAATCAATGATTCTAAAGAAAAATTATAATCTCTAATTGAATGTTTCCTTGGAGAAAAATAGTTTAGTTAATATGTTTTAATTTTCTTTTTTAAAAACAGAAATTTTTACCTTTTTTAGATATTTTTTAAGCAAAATTTAACTTTCAATTCACACAATTAAGAAACAATTTTTTTTGACAAAAAAATGCAACAAGACGAAACCCTCAATCCTCATCCAGACATTTAGAGTGCAGTGAAAAAAGTTATGAAAATAAATCAACCCAATTAAAAACCAAAAGAATTTTTCAAAATTATGAAAACTATGAAATTGTGTTAATTTAGTGAGATGCATTTTGCAAAATCTTTGAAATTCTCCAATCTTGGATAGATGATATTAGATAAATAAATAGATAGATAAACATGAATTTAGATGGTGATATTGCAAAAGTCCATTTCTCATGACAGGATTACATCTTGTTATTATCATGTGACACAATTTAATTTCTTAATATTAATCTTTCTCGTTCCTTAATTATTCAATAACATTTCCAATAATACAAGTTCAAGAAAAAAAACCATTTTTCACCTTGAGAAACTGAGGACTAAATTGAAACGGCGTCCTCTCCAGCCAGGACAAGAGGACGCGGACACTCTCAAGGACGTCCCCGACGGCTGACATCACTAGTCCTGGAACTGTCTGTTTACCAACCGTCTCAGGGTACCTAATAAAATTATATTTTGCTAAAAAAATTTATCTTCATTAAAAAAATTTCGCCTTTTTCTACATTAGAACCTTTCACTTATTGTTTCGTTAAAAACATTCTTTTAAAATCTTAACATTTTATTTTTTAAAAGATAATTTATTTGAAGCAACAATTTTCTATTCTTACTTTGGTTTTCCTTTATTCTACAATGACATTTTCACTCACTTTTTTGCTTAAAAAAAAAAATTCGAAAACGACGAGTTATTATATTTAAACCCTTACAAACATGATAATCTAAAAGTATGAAATCAACACAAAAGAATCTAAAAATCATTTTAAACATTTTTTGATTATCACTCCAAATATTTGTGAACAACATGGCTGTAAGGTAATGGAGGGGCTGTAGTCAAGGAGTATGGAATAAAAGGGAGATACAAACGACGCGGTCCGCCCTACCATATGATTATACTATAGACAATTTAAAACAATTGTGTAAACATACACTTTTTAACAAGTGTTTGGAATATAATCAATTTCTATCCAAATCCAGATCTTGGATTCGTCCTTTGGAAACAAAATTGATTATACAATTAATTTAATTGCGACACCTAAGCAAATTATACTAATCTATGTTCAATATATGGTATCAAAATTCCATCCATCTGAAATATCTCTAGATTATGAAAGAACTTGTGATAGATAATAACTGTAACACCCCGCACACCTTGAACAATCAAAAAATAATTTCCGGTCTGTGTCAAGAACTTCATAATACAGACCTCTCTCCCATTCTTACAGGGCGTCCAAATAAACATGGTAGTTGAGAGAGATCAACTGTTTTCAAGGTCATAAAAATCTTTAGAATCAAAATCAAAATTATTTTAGCCTTAAAATCATTGAATAAAAATAAAAACAGAATTATTAAGTTTTGATTGAGAAAGATCGATTTTTTTCAAGTAAAAAGTAGAACACAAACTTTTGGATTTTTTTTAACTAACAAATTGCCAGTGGCGCAACTACGGAGGGGGGG